ATTTTAATGTGAGGGTTTGTTATTGTTTATGCTGTGTGTTTAATAACGAAGTTTTTGAGAGATATAACGCCACGATATAATCAAATAAAACAATACTAACATTAAAACAATATATTAAGTAAAGGATTTTTTTTTTAAAAAAANCTCTCTCCCTCTGCCTCCCTCGTTTTCCCCCTTCTTCTCCCCCTCTCCCTCTCCCTCTCTCCTCCCACTGTTCACTGTACCCCCTTCTCCCTCCCTCCTCTATACCACTGATCCTCTCCTTCCTCCTCCCCTTCTCTGTCTCTCCCCCTCTCCCTCCCTCTCCGTACCTCTCCCTCCTTCCTCCCACCCTTCACTCTTCCCCCTTCTCCCTCCCTCCCTCCCTCCATATCACTAATTCTCTTCTCCCTTCCCCAACAGGTGACCTGCCTCCACCACCGGCCGCCCCACCACATTCCCCTCAGTCCCTCCCCTTCCCTGCTGGAGGTCCTACTCGCCCGCTTGGCCTCGAGATGCTGGGCGGAAGAACCCAAGGAACGGCCAGATGCCCTCACCCTCGTATCTATCCTGGGGGCGCTATCCTGCTCTTCGGCAATCTGAGGAGGGAGTGGGAGGGAGTGGATAGGTTGTAGTGGGAGTTGGTGTGGGGGGAGGAGTGGGAGTAGGTAGGATAGAAGTGAATGTGAGTGAGTGAGCGACTGAGCGTGAGGGAGTGCGGAAGTTTGTGTGTGTAATGAGTGAGTGCAAATGAATGTATGTGTGAGGCTGAGATAGTGTATGTACGCAAATAGGTTCATTTGCGTAAGTACTTATGTGTTTGCATCCATGTCCCAAAACAGTTTTGTAAATCAGTACACTAATTAGTATGAAGGAATGTAAATACGGGAAAATAGTGGGCGGGGCTAGCATTTTGTCCTCAGGCGTTTTCTTAAAATGTTAAAATGTCATTAGTCATGTTTAGCAGAGTGTATAAAAAAATGTATATAATTTTGACACACATGGTGTTGGAGTGCAACCAGTAGAGTGTGAGAGATTTTGTGAGACATGCAAGTACAGTCTGAAATAATATATAGTTAAAAAGCATTGTATATACTGAAAGGGCCATATTCCCACATAAATAGTGAGGAAGTTTGGTGGGGAATATTTTTCAGTCTGAAAGGAATGTATTGTGAGAAAATGTTGTATTACAGAACAAATATAGTGGAAGAACCAAAGTTCTATATATTTAGTGAAGCTGTGTGGAAAATTGTTCTAGTCTGAAAGGAATATTTTGAGAAAAATTTGTATTATTGAATGAATATATTGACAGGGCCATGGTCCTATGTGTAGAGGGAGAAATTATAGGGAAGCTTTGTCGGGAAAAAGTTTATTCTGAAAGTAATGTATAGTGAGAAAGCATTGTACTGTTGAACGAATATAATGAATATAGTCCCACATATATAGTGAGGAAAATATGGTGTAAATTTTGTGGGCAAAATTTCATTGTCTAGTCTGTACAGTGCCATCGTGTAGGCTGTCACTTTTTATAACTTTTAATACTGGTTGTGAAGGGAGATTTTAATGTTGTGATTCATTGATGGTGTAAACTAACCCAGTTTTAAAATTGTCCAGTGAAAGTATGTTTTTTCTAGTGTGGAGACCTCTTTATCATCATCAAGATAAGTATTATTGTTGGTGTTATTATGATTATCATTATTATTGTTATTATTATTATTATTAAGATTATCATTATCATTACTATTATTATTATTATTTTTTTTTTATGCTGTTACTGTTATTATTATTATCATTATTATTTTCATGATCATCATCATTATTACCATTATCATTATCATTATTACTATTGATATCATCATTTTCATCATCATTATTATTTTTTTTTTTTATTATTATTATTATTATAATAATTATTATTATTTTTCATCAGTATCATTATTATTACCTTTATTTTTTGTGCTGTTGTTATTATGATGATTATTATTTTTTATTATTATTTTTTATTATTAATATTATTATTATTATTATTATTATTATCAGTATTATTATCAGTATCATCGTAACCATTTGTTTTAATTCACTTAATGATTTTGATCTCATTTCCCAATACGTAATTTGTATATAATATAAATAAGTTTAGGATTCATTTATTTCAATAAGAGTTGATTAATTCAAAACCTTAGATCTAATCAATATTAAATAGCATTTCACAACATGTTTAATTTTGATAACAGCGACGTAACTTTTATCTTTTTTATTATAAGAAATAAGATGAAATAAGGATTAGATTAAGATGATTAAATGATTATGTTTTTACAGCATAGTATAGTGTAGATTGATGTATTTTGTGTGTAATGGATTTGTAAATAAGTATCCTAATAAAGTTTCTTTTAATTCCTTAACTATTGATGTAAATTTAGTATAATCAGAAGAACATTGAAAGTGGCATTTTATTTTTTTCTTAGTTAAATACTTTTTTGAAGAACTTACAATTTGTTTAGAATATGAATTAATGACTGGGAATCTTTTTTTTTTCGGTTTCATGTAGTATTTCGATCTAGTATATTTTTTCTTTTTATATACACATTTTATTTTTTTTTTACTCCACGAGTTTCATGATATTAGAAAAAAGGCAACTGCACTGTGATAATGACATGTCTCTAACGTGTTTTTAACTTGCTAATATTGATATATTTTTTAGATGCTGGGCTAATCTATTTAAGTTCATGTCTTAATTTCACTATATACGAAAGTTAATTTTACTCGTGACAAAATAATTCTAGAATTCTCTTGTCTTTCGTAGCAAATGCTTTTATCATGTTAATGAATAACTATCTGTAAAATGATACATATGGCGCATTTTGGCCAAAGGAAGTTCAACCTTTTAGAGCGCTGGGTTAAAATATTATTTTTCTCCCATGAAACACAAAAGTAAATTGTTCATGTTGGCTTATGGTACACACTTGTATTTATTCGTTCATTGCGATTTTGTTAGAATCTGATCGCAGTTTGCTATTTGAGAGAGAAAATGGCATTTATGGTGAGGTGGGCAGTTTTTCTCGGGAAAAAGAGTGTTTATGCCTGTAATCCATACCTGTTAAAACTAGTTTCGTGGTTACATAGATTTTTTTCCTTGTTGAGATGTATTTATTCCCTTTCTTTTATCCTCGTTTTGTAAAGGTTTTAGTAAGTTTGACGTTATTTTTTATCTTAGTTCGATTAGTTTATTAGTTTATTCTTAGCAAACCTTTGTTTCAAATACTCGAAATTGCCTGCTTCATGTGTGTTTCCTTATGGTATGTATGTATATGTACACATGCATACATATATACATCATGTATATTATA